TAACCAATTCAAGCGCTGAGTAAGAAGAATCATTTCAATTGTAACTGGTGTTTCATGTAAAAAGCGGAACAAATTATCTGATGAAATGTTAAGTACCACATGTATGTGCTTTACCTTTAAAGTCACAAAAGTATTATATTCGCTTACACAATGCAAATAATTTGTAACAGTGCCAGTTTTAAGGATTGCCAGAAAGTATACATCAATAAAAAAACACAAATGTATGTATGCACTAGCTACCTTAATATATAAAAAAGTTTCTTCGAAATCTTGGGTTTTAATAAACACTGAAGCTACTTTATGAATGTAGTAAATGTTTTTAAACTATTTTAGGCCCTTAAGGCCTGTATCCGGCTCTCAAGAAAAGCAAAAACTCCATATAAAATAACGTACAAGAAATGGCTAAGAAATTTTCTTGAGTCAAATTTCCTGCATACAGGCCATTAGTGAGTAATCTACCGAAATTTGAATTTCGAAAGAATATTATATGTGTGGCGTAGTGTTAAGCAGTGCGCGCTTCCACTCCGCAGGGCCTGGGCTCAAGCCCTGGTTTAATCAACATCGCAAAAAAAGTAGAAAAAATGTTTTTTCTTAAGAGCGGTCGCCCATCGGCAGGCAATGGCAAACCTCCGAATGTAGGTCCCTCCCCTTTGTGTGACAACATCAAGGCGCACGCCACGATCGGAGGAATTTTACTTCTTTTCTACTGAAATATGTATATGTTTTAAATTCGTTGGGAATTTTGTGGGATAAGTTTTTAAGATGTGGGTAATTGAGGGATTTTTTCCCCATTTTCGTGGGATTTTTAACAGAGAATGTCTGGCATCACTGCTAGCATTTCAACACGAATAGAATTCAAGGGCCATTCACATACAACTTTCCTCGCTTTGCTTGACAGTTCAAACTTTGACAACAAAGCGTGAAACTCAGAAGGTATGCTACAATAAACTGCCATCCCTAAATTGGCGCGTCAAGCGCCAAGCAACTGTCAAAAATCCTCATGCCCATACAATTTGTATGAAGCATCCCACAATAACGAGGCGCTAACGCCGAGCAAATGGAATTTTCATTTTTGACAGGGCGTTACGTGCTGAAGTTGGATGCAGAAGACGAAGAGAAAGAGAACGGACAAAGAAGTGAAAAAGGAAACGAGAATAAAAACGAGAGGACATGAGAAAACGTCAAAATTGACGACGCGTTGATTTGGGTATAGCGCGCGATGACATTCGTTGACAATGGATAACGCAACGCTTAGCGCTCCAATTTAGGGACGGCAGAAACGCTTTGACAGCTTTTGCGCTCTCCTTTTCCTCCATATATTTTACCTGTAAAATAGATAAAAAAAATATAATAATATGCATTAATAGCAATAAAAATCCCTATTTACCCTATTTTTGTCATTAAATGCAAATGCAAGCGCACGAGAAAAGATACATGTAGACAGCTGATTGCCAAAGCGGGCAAAAGTTGAGAGTTGCCCAAGATTTTGCTTCGTTTTGCTTTGCTTTGCTTCAAACGTTTTTTATGTGAGCATACTCATGCATATGCCTACATCAATCTTATATGTCAAAGCAAAGAACTATCAAGCAAAGCGAAGAAAGTTGTATGTGAATCAGCCTTCAACAAGGTGAGTTTACATCTTCAGCTTTTTATCAATTATGGTTGTATTTTAGTGCATTTAAATTTGTAGATTCTTGTAAAATCAGTGCTGCCACATCAGCCCATCGGTTCCAAAGTGTTTCATTACTAATTAAAAAAAAAAAAAAAACATGATACACATGGCCACCTTATCCGCATGAAACTTTTTGTTATTTTAAGGGTGGGTAACTCAGTAAATTTATAAGAGTTGACTCAATGAGCCCAACTCACTTTAAGGAGTCAGCTCATTCAACTAACTCATTTGACTCTTTGTATGTTACACTCATTGGTATCGTAGACTCGTTTTTAGGCATAAATGCAAATTTTGCAAATTAATAGGGGCCGTGCTAGGGGGAGGGTAAAGGTGGAATTTGCAATATTTTCAAAAGCTTATATTTCGAAAACTATTGTACCGAATTTCAAAATGTGGATATGGTTGGAAAGGCAATTGATTTGATATGCATCATCATGTAAGATATATAACATATATACATATTTCGTGAAAAACTAAAAAAAAACGAAATTATAAGAATTTTTGAGATTTGACAAAACACCCGCAATACAAAATACATCTGGATGTTGTTGTTGTATTCTTGCCACCACCTTGTATAAATTCGCCACGAACAGAATGCAAGACTTTGCCATGCTATAAACACTGTGGGGAAGTGAGAGAGTTATACGGACAAATATGAGCCACTATGATTCAATTGAATCATGTGAGCCCTAGGGAATCAACTGGGTTACTGAGTGACATTTTTGATGTGTATACATCTTTGGTTTCGGTAGGGGTAAAATTTGCGAAGCTGTAACGCATATCCCAGCACAAAATTTCGAAGGGCTTAGCATGTGTATTTCAGCATAAAATTTTTATTTTCATTAGAAGCACCCTGTGTTTGCTTGCCAAATGGTTGCATACATTTAGGCATATGCATAGTAAGAGGAAATGCGCT